CAGAAGTCATTGACAATTGGTTTTATAGTTTTAATCTGATTGATAAATAGATTAAGTCCTTATTAAGAAGGCAATCTCACTCTGACTAGTGGAATGGATTAACTTAGATAATAGTGAACCAGTATAAAAATCCTTGAGTATTTTTTATCATTATTGAGTTTGTGAAAAACTTAACCGTGTCAATAAAGATCTGGTTTTTTGAAACACGGTATAGCATATACAAGCAACAACGATATAGATCATTATTCTGCCAAATCTCCAATCTTTGATGGAGAAATTTTGATTACTGCAAGGACGAAATAAAAAATATCTTCCTTGGGAATGAAGTAGATCTTTGGGATATGGTAATGCAAGGTTACACATATCCCCCAAATCCAAATGGTGCAAAGCTTGAAATAAGAAAGATGTATGATCAACAAAAGAAAGATAACAAGAAGCATCACATATACATAACAATCTTATTCAATGTTATTTCTTATACTGAGTATGAGAAGATTACAAATAAATACTCAACTAAGTATATATTCTATTCTTTGAGGATGTTTCATGAAGGAAATAATCAAGTAAAGGAAACCAAGGCTCTGGCCTTGATCTATAAATATGAATCTTTCAAGAATGAAGAGGATGAAATTATTTAGGATATGTTCTCAAGGTTTCAAACTCTTGTTGATAGATTTAAAGTCTTAAACAAGGGCTACACCATCACAGATTATGTAAAGAAAATGACCAGAAGCTTGTCAAAGAAATGGAGGCCAATGGTGACAACAATTAAGGTGTCAAAGGATCTGAATAACACGACTCTGAAGGAGCTTGTCAGCTCTCTAATGAATCATGAGATCAAGCTATAAGAGGATGAGCCCCAGAGGAAAGGGAAGTTTGTGGCTCTAAAGTCTATAGGAAAATATAAAAAAGCTAAAACTCTTCAAGCTTAAGAAGAAGAGTATGACGAAAGTTCTAATGAAGAGGATGAGTTGTCTCTATTATCTAGAAGGGTCAACTGACTCTAGACGTATAGATAGAACAAGTCTAGGCTACAAAAGGACACATGAATGCTTTTAGTCAACCTCTGGGTAGAAGAAGTCTGGAGCTGACAAAGAGGTCATCTTCTATGAGTGAAAAGAGTCTGGCCATTACAAAAATGAATGTCTCAAAGTCAACAGAGAAAAGTCTAAAAAGAAATTATTCAAGGAAAAGAAGAAGGTTTTGATGGAAACATGGGATGACTCTAAATTCTTTAAAGAAGATCAAGCTAATGTAACTCTTATGGATAACATTGATGCCTCTGAATCAGAATCAAATTCATACATTGAAGAGGTATTTTCTCATCTAATTTGTTCTAAACTTGAATCATCTTTAGTTAAAACTCTTGAAAAGAGTTAGAGACTTTAGAAAAGATACAAGAATCTGAAATAAATTCATGTATTCGATTCTGAAGCCCATAGCAAGCTGATAAAAGAAAATTTTATTTTAAAAGAAAAAAATGATAATTTTGAAAAAGAAAACTATGTTGTCAGAAGCAAGAATTAAAAACTAGAAAAATAAATTCTTTTAGAAGTTACCATGGACTCTGAATTTGTTTCTAAGAAATACGAAATATCTTTTCAAAAATTTCTAATCAAAAACATAGTTAGAACTAATATGGCTTCCATGATCTATGGAGTAAGTGAAAACGGGATAAATGGTATTGATTATTGACCCGTTGTTGCACACGGGTCAAAAACGAGTAAATTAAATTGTAGTAGGGAAGCGACACTCGATTATCGTATTGCAAAAATTCTTGATTTTATTAACCAACTGATAGTAACAAAGGGGAGGGGATTTCGGTTTCTATTTAGGAAAAAAAGGTTAAAATAAGTGATTATGAAATAAGTTAATCTATTGTTTATTCTCCAACTTATCATTAATCATATAATTCTCAATCCATAAGCGGATTTCATTCCCTTTAGATTACCGTAACAACAAGCGTGATTGAAACTAATATATGATTTATGTTCCTAAACCTGAATTAAGCAAACAGATAACACAAACACAAATTTAGCAGACGCAGTTACGATTACTAGAACATATATCAATCGAAATAAATCAATTCTATTCTATAAAATATGCAATTGAATTAAGCAAACAATGACGACTGAATAAAGCAATCATAATTATAGATAGAATTGAAAAGGAATTGGAATTGCTTGGAAATTATAATAACCTCAAAGTTAACAAAGATACAGTTACATCAAATAACCTTTTGGAATTAGTTCTCCATAAGATTCATGCTAACCATATATTTTTGTGAATAGTGAATAGAGGATCAGTATTGTAGCTGTTATTTTGGTTTTTATAATACAATGTAAATCAAGACATAATGCAATCTGACCAGAAAACATAAAGAAACAGCCCAATCATACTATATTATAATCCTATAACTTCTTCTAACAAAATTTCCCGCCAAAATAAGACATTTGGTTAAATGATTTTACATCAGGTTTTAAGATGTATGATGTAAAAAATATTTGTCAAAGAATTTTACATCAGATTTCATAGCAATGTGAAGTGAAAAATATTTGTTTTAGGGATTTTCCATCAGACAATTATTTTCACTAATATGAAAAATAACGCGGTGACAGTTTTGGAAATAAAACGAAATTTTGTTTTAAAGGATTTTACATCGGGCCTAGCTTTGCACTGATGTGAAAAGTCATCTCATAGAAAAATAACAAGGTGGCAGTTTCGTAAATAATATAAATTTTATTATAAAAAATTTCTCATTGGTCCTTGATTTGAACCCGATATGAAAAACGGACCTTTACATCAGACCTCGTAGCAACTGATGTGAATTCCTGAGCCTTCAATTTTCACTAAAACCTTAACTTTGATTGTCAAATTTTAATAATAATAAATAAATTTTAATTTTTTTAGTCATATTTATATTTATAATAATAATAATAATATATTTATTAATTTATCAAATTAATATAATACAAGAATCAGCACAGTTCCTACAAAAAAAAAGAACAAAACGCACGAACGACGTTCTTCTTCTCCTCTGCGTTGTTGCTCACCATTGTCAGTTTTCACCATTTTAGCCGCTCACAATAACTTTCTTTTACTCTCCAGTTGTCTTTCTCGTTAAGGTTAGATTTTTATTCTTTATATCTTTTTTAATAGATATTTAGGGTTTCTTTCAATCCTAAAACTCTAACTTGCCAAACCCTCATACAATTAGAAACCCTTATTTTAAATTGTTATTAGTTTGATATTTGAATACAGTTGTGCAAACAATAGAATTGATTGTCGAATTTAAAATTTGGCAAATTTATGCATTCAATTTAGCTATTGGTCTTTGTCTCTATATTGGTAGATGGTTATTGTTGTGTCCTCTACTCGAGGTCTTTATTTGATATAGTCCTTTTCTGTTTTTATTTGCAAACTAATTCTATTATGCGGGGTTAATTTTGTTTTGCAGATAGCTAACTTGACAGTAATGACTTTGTTTTTTCCCTACCAATGAGTTATTTATCAAGGGATTCAGGTATCAGGAAAGTCACACAACTTTTTCATTTAAATTCCATTAGTTAGTATATATATATCATTGGCATAGAAACAAGTACAATGGGTGATTAGTGAGTTATTCTTTTAGCAAGAGAAATTGATTTGGTCCTTGATTTTCTAATTAAAATTAGTAGCAATAGGTGGTAGTTTGCATTTTCTTTGATTGTGACAATGATCTATTTGTGGGAAGGATAAAAGAATTAAGAGTTATCTAACAGGTAATGCTAATTTAAAGGTAACTTTTATATTATGATGAAAATAATTTTTTCTTTGATTTGGAGTCTTTTAGTTTTATCTTAACTTTGGTGAATGGTTTATTTCTTTTACAATGTCCTTATCCGCGTCTACAATTAGCCATCAATATCATTAGGTTCTATTTAAATATTTTGTTATATTTCTGAAATATTTTGATACTAATCTTTTGATATGATTATAGTGTAGTGGATAGAACTGATATAAAGAAGCAGACTTCGTTATGTGATTTCTTTTGAGAAAGAGGTAAACCTTTTGTTTATTGCTTGTTAAATAAAATACACTCTTTGTCCTTATATAGATCCAATGACTTTTACAATTTCAAAAGATAACGGCTGCTAATAAAAACTATCATAACTTATTAACTTTTGTCTTTCTAAATTACATTGGTTCTTAATCTTCCTACTACCATATTTAATATGAAAACTTATTACTAATAACATTAAAGTTTACTCAACAAGAACTTCATGAATTATATGTAAGCCTAACTGGATGGTAGATTTTATATATCATTATAGTACAAGAGATATATAACTTCATAAATATATGATTTTTGGACAAGTTGGAATTGCAGAAACATATGTTCATACTATCATTGCTTCTAGTCAAATGTAAGGACCAGATCTAGGTGCAAAGGACCTTGTTTTCTATATAGCGCTCAATTAAGAACATGTGTTTCTCTTTTTTTATTTAGTTTTGTTGTAGTGCACTTGTTTTTACCATATTTACTAAATATATCATCACATGATTTTGATAAATTACTATGTTGACTAATTCAACATAACCACACTATTGCTCTCCAAAATATTTTTATTGGTCTTTGCATGATTGTGGAAATTGTACTACAGAATACACTTAAATATTATTACTCGTGCTAGGCTGATATTTTAAGCATTTGTGGTTTTGTTATGTTCTCATAATTTTGTTAGTGTATTTTTGCCTTAGTCTACTTACTTAGATTCATGAAATGTTTATGAGTATGATGTTAAGTGTTAAGTGACCAGTCATACTCATAATGAATAATATGTTTGTTTTCACTTGGTCATGTAGGCAGTAGGTACAACCAAAGAAGATAACATTCAAAAAAATACAAAAACATCACCAAAAAAAATTAATGAAAGTTTGTGTATTTTGATGTTTTTAAATTTTTTTTTAAAGTAGGTAGGTATTTAATAATTCAACACAATTAACACAAAAAAATTTGTATGATTTGTGATTCTATTGGACAACATGTTTCTTTGAGTTATATAAAAATTAAGTTTTATCTGGTGAATTATATAGAATTGTCTATATATATCCGACTTGATTTGTTGACTTTGGTGTTGTCTGCTGATGTTAATTGGTGTTATTATTTATTGTCAGCAAATGTGATTTTGGTGTTGTCTACTGAAGCTACAACTCATCTTCTTGTGGATTGCATGTTGGTAATTCAAGTGTGGGAAAAGACTTATAAATAGTTGGATATTTTTGTATGTTTTCACTGGTTTTGTTGTTGTAGTAGTCCACCGTGTAAACATAATTATAATTTTGTACACTTGTGTGTATCCTAGATTAGTACTTTTATAAATCAATTGTTAATTTTGAAGAATATGTGCATCCTAGCTATTTGGTGCAATGAAATTAACATGTTGGTTGAAAAAATATGAAAAATTAGATGCCAAATAGCAATTTAAATGTGGTCTGTGTGGTGTTGGAAAATATGAAAAATTAGGTACAAAAAAAATTACAAAGATTCCACCTTGCAACCGATGTAAAAAGCTACATTTTACATCAGGCTAGAAAGGCAATCGATGTTAAATGTTGCATTTATTTAAAATAAAATAAAGTTAAATCCACATTTCACATAAGAAGTAACAGTCAACCGATGTGGTAGGTGCATTTTTCACACTAGGTTATTGTCGGATATAAAATGTCTTTGATTTACTACATCGTTTGTCTTTACATTAGACCCAGATCCGATATACAATATGCTTTTCGTTCGATGTAAAAAATCTTTCTTAAACTAGTGAAGAGTCCAGTGTGTGCATGTTGTTTTCTTTGTTGCAGCGTGAATGTGAAGAGTCTCCCTGCAAAATCAATCACTTCCTCTTTTTCCTGTCAACTGTAGAAGAAAGACCAATGTGGTTCTCACCATCTATTTTTCAATTATCAAGTTGCCCCGAAAATTTATTTGATACGTATGAATGTGTAATTTAGGGGAGTATATTTGTATTGAGGTTAGTCTTCACTGTATTTGGAGGGGTAAGTATTTAATCTAAAAAGTATACCTCGTCACGGTGGACCTACAAAGTTGTTAATAGTGTAGAGGGATGGTGTATAGATGTTAAATGGTTTAATGTATTAGTTAATATCAGTTACGAAATAGTAATAATTAAAATGAAACAATATGAGGTACATATATGTAATAACTCATACCAAATAAGAAGTAGATACATTTGGTTATCCATTAAAGTGATTTCATAGCATAGAGAATAATGATTATTTGTTTATGTTTCCTGATGAATAGAAGAGTGTGCAATAATAAAGTACGAACCTCATTGAAAAATGACAATGTGAACCAATAACTAGTAATAATAAATCATATAGTTATACTTACAAATATTGAAAAATCAAGTGTAAAAGATGGTAGTATTTATAAGTAGCTAACCGTACATATAATTAACATCCTAATAATCAAACCAAAACTTTACAGATATTTGCAACATTACAAAGATGTAGATTGGGAAAAGTAAATCTGATAACATTTCCATTTTGGAACCTATTAAACTCAAGAAACCTCATTCAACCTTGCACCAGTTCAAATAAAAAAGGGTCTCCATTTATATATATTATGTGGGTGACAATTGGAATATTGGAAGGTCCCACTAAAATGAGAGATGTGTATTTATTTTCTGGGATAACATGTAATATTGATATATTTTTTTCTGCAAAAGAAATAAAAACATATTATAAAATCGATACAGACATGTATACACATAAATCATAAGCGGGTAAATTCATACCAGAGTACGAACACCTTCATAATTCGTATGATCAAACAAAACGATTTCAAAGGCAAGGTACGAACACCTTGATATTCAATTAACAGTGAATTTCTTATTTTATATAGGCGAAGTACATGAAATGGGCTCAAATAAATTTGTCCATAGTTGAACATCTCTTTCGGGTACATTGAAACATGGTACGTATTTCTTTTTAAATATAAAAGAAAGGGAAATCAATATGGATATGACATCAACAATAACAAGAACAAAATAATGCAGTTTTACTAATAAGTAGTGAGACATAACCATATTACATGAATGCCTAATGTGATAGTGACATATTTGTAAACAAAAGACGGAGTAATATCCCCAAAACAACAAAACTTAACCACCATGGGTTCAACAATAACCAACAATTACATTTGATTTAAAAACTAAAACATGAAAAAACTAAAACATGAAAAAACTAAACGCAGTAAATAACACTAAAACTTATTTCTCGATCTTAATCATCTTGTTAAGCTTGTTTGAGGACAATTCATCATCATCAAGTTTGACTAAGTTTGTTGATTCACTTGAGTCATCCGTAGTCGATCTCTTTGTTGTTGGCATGACTGGATCTTGGTTGAGTTTGGATGTAATCTCAGATTCCTACTAAATTTTAAATTTTCACACCAGTTTCATGGAAACAACATATTATCAAATTACATTAGAATAAGTAATGTTAATAACATACAACCATCACTTCAGAATCATCAATAACATTGGCCTCATCAACATTTTCTTTAATCTGTAAACAATGCAATAAATAATGTCAGTAAAACATGATTGGGAGATGATAATATCAGAAAACTAAATTGCATCATGAGTTAGGTATATGAAGAGACACATGGGTCAATGGTGTGGGTGGCGGTCAGAAACAGGTATGATATCATCTCCCCAAGGTTCCTTAAGTTGGTTGATCACAACCTTGTCCTCAAAAACAAAAACTACTTAGAAACTATCCCAAAGTGGCTGCCATTTGACTTTAAAAGCTATCTTTTCGCCCAATAATTTGTCAAGTGCTAATGGATACTCAAGTGGATTAGTTGTTCCACATGAATACGTCAAGAAAAGGGGAAAAGTTACTATCCAAAAAAGTGTGATGTACAAAATGTATCATGTGTTATGTATAAGAATTTATTTAACCTCAAACATTATGGTGCACATCTGAGCAGCAGGAAGTCCTAATAGTTGTTCACTTTCTCAATCCCACAAGACAAATTTACACTTAATTCCACCATAAATAGCTTATACTTGGATCTTATACCTTGTTAAAATATAGTATGTAAACAACCCAATATAAGTAATATAAACATAAAACGTATGGCAAATGTAAAGCAAAATAATTTAGGTAACACGTTACCTAAAAATTTCACATTCAATCAAATGTTCTACATCGCATTTGAAAGGATCCTGGTCTCCCATGGAAACTTTAGGGCACTACTGGCATGCTTGATAGTACCAACCGTATTTGGATGCGACCAGCTTGACAATTTTGGCAACTGTAATGTAGATAGTATCCTAAAAGGAATAATTTGAGGTAGTTATCTGAAAAATCTTTGAATAACATCAATAGATCAAAATGTAAGTAAAGTAAGCAGACAATCTTGAGTTGCTTGATTTCAGACAAAGGAAGCACAATAACTTTAGACATTAATTTTTGGTAAGGTGTTAGCTGAGAACTTGAAGAGTTCTGTGACCATAGTTAAGATCTGGAACTAACTTGGGTGGTCCAAATAGCTAGTGAGTCTTTTTGGATGCTATAAAAAAGTAACGCAGTTGATTGATGAGATAATGTAGTTGTAAATAATCACATAGAGAGCAGTTTAACAAATGGATGGATGAAAATCTCACCTATTCATGAAGTCTTTTATTGCTTTCAAATCATCGTTTATATACAACTTAGTAACATTATAGGTGTTTGAAACAGACAATGGATATTTTTGTTCGACATAATGCAATCAGTTATATAAGTCATCAAGAATCATGCATAATAAGAAAAATATAGAATAATAATAGGAAAGTATGTGAAACCTTATTTTTTTACTTTTGCATATTGCAGGGAAACAACAGTTGAAGAGGAGGCATCAATTTTGCTTTCATTGTATTTGATAAACTGTGCAACATAAGATTTCCATAATGTACAGTTGATTAAGTTGTTGCTGTGAAGTTAGAAACATAACTTAGTAAATATCCAGGAGTGCATGGGGTGTAAACATGTTAGTACATAATAAGCATACCCCAAATCTTTCAGAACAATGTTGGCCTGTTATTTTTTACCACTAGTCTGCATTTGGGTGTACCCAATTTCGTCCACCATTCCAATTATGTCTACAAGAATTACAATTAGATTTATTGAAGAAACTTAACACAAATATTTTCGAGACATAAGAAACGATATGGGTTACCTATCAATCCATCCCTTTTCCATTTTCCTGAAATGATGTCACATAACGAAGTTACTTCGACAACTTTGTCAGGGATTGAATGCTTGTTTCTATCACCAACAGTAGTTCCTCCATAAAACATTAAAAGAAACTTGTGTTGGGAAGGTTTGAAGACAACATCGTTGAGTTGAACCTGGATGTTTGATATGGTGAGGGTGTCATTAACACATAATTGTGAATCGAATGTCTTGTTATACAATGGAGGAACAACCACATGGATATCAATCACCTGTAAATGCGAAAAATTTATTATGTTCAAGCAAATGCATTATAAACATTTAATAAATACAATAAACCAAAGAGATGCATCAAAAAAATTACCAAGTCACCTCTTTATCAACGACAATCATCTCAAAGTGCTCATTGGTGGTTGAGATGACATCCCATTTATGGTGAACTTTAACAGCGATCTTCCAGAGTTCTTTTTCGTCGCATATGTCTTTGACACACTCAAAAGGTCGGGCCATTGCAATCAGGAAGAAACCTAAAAACATTGAAAACAAAAAACAAAACACGAAATCAGGTATGGCTCATCAAAAAGAAATAAGGAGAATTTTTCTACAAAACATAAAGAAGATGATTCAAACGTTATCGAAGATGTGAAGTAAGAGTTGTTTTGATTTGACCTTATTTATAGGAGAGAAAATGACATGGAGAATTCCACCAGAAATACATTAACCATTGAATCACTTGAATCTTGGCAGAAGATGAAAAGTTGAGTTTGGGAACACAAAACACATTATTTAGGGTGGTGAATCATTGTTTGTATTTCGGCCCAAATGATTTCAAAAGTGAAAAAGAAAAGATAAGTTGTGATTGAACCAAATATAAAAAGGTAAATTTTGACTATTTCATAAGTGAAAATTAAAAGATAAGTTGTGATTGGACCAAATTCAAAAAAATTATTGTTGTCTTTTTCAAAACATCTTATTTTTTTATACGGTAGATTTTGGTAGTTCAGCAAA